TATTCATTAATTTTCATTTTCATGTAGTAAAGGCTCTATGCCTTCATAAAGGACGTACTTTTCCTTTGTTTAAGGGTATTTGGGCAGTTTATTCTCTGTTGTATTCTCAAGTAAACAATACATACAAGTACAGTACAGTATTTTCTGAGGAAACACTCGTACTTATTTTTTTTAACCCCATTCCCGATAACCCGGCATTTTCACAAACTCGGCCAACCTTCGGTCCACATTAGGCCGAGTTTTCGAGGTTCTACTGTATATATATATATAGGATGGATGGCCGAGTGGGCAATATGGCAGCCTACCGCTCTAGGGACCCTGGATCGAATCCGAATGGGTCGGAAAAATCTACAGGAATTTTTCGGAGGTATTCGGGCCCCATTATGGGTCTGGCCGAATTCATAATGGACTTGCTAAAAAAGGCCCTCTTGGTACCCACGGGGCAGAAAGTTAAAAAAAAAAAATCTATTTATATAGTTTAAAAGTAGTTTGATAAAATTTTAAACTAAAAATTAATTTTAATTATGATATAATATACAATTTGCCGATGAAATTTTAAAAACAAATTAATTTTATTTATTTATTTTTAAATATTCTGTCGACGCATGAGCAATTGTTTGATGAGATGTCGTTCATGGCGCCATGTTTACGGTATTCGTAAAAGATGTAGCGAATACAGAAAACGGAGGTAAATTAAATGTTTTTAAATATTATATCATATGCTATTACTATTAACTTTGATACGTTAATTTAATAAAATATTAACGTTTAAAAATATTTCAAAAGATGGTTGTTAAAGCTATTAAATTAATTGATTTTGGGATGTAATTTAGAGATGAAAATGACGTGTACTGGTGAATATTCTGCGATTCATTTTTATTTAAAATTGTTATTGAAGGATTCAATATTTTACTGATGCTTTTTAAATGTTTTTAAAGCAGAAATTGAGATGAATAAGGTTGATTCACCTTCGAAGGAAGTTGCTGAACTGGAAGGTAGGATTTCCGTTCATTTCGTTTTGACTTCTCCTTTTAACTTTTGCCCGAAATAGATTACTTTTGGATTTTAAATTTTCAAAAAAATAAATTTTCGTTTAATGCGAATAA